TCAAAAGTCTACTAAGATCAATGGAAAGTTTTTCACTGATTTCCACCGATTTCACCAGGCCTAGATAGCATACACCTCCAAGTAACACAGGGGAACAAGTGTATGGGCGCACTTACACAAGATGCTTACTGTGCATTAGCCTAATAACACTGTGCAGCAGCATAGTGGTTATTAAACAAGCTAACCACCTACTGAGCAGTGTTATTAGGCCAATGCACAGTAAGTGTCACTAAAAAACCATGCACCGGCACCTACTGCACAGTAACTCTAGTTACTGCACAATCAGTTAGTACCTCTTATTAGAAGTACTAAACTAAATGTGCAGTAATTAAGGCAATCAGGACCTGTAGTAGAGATAATATCTTTTATTAGACCAACAAGATTTTTGCAAAAAAAAATTTTTTAATTGCAAGCTTTCAGGCCCAAACCCCCATCATCAGGCATTGGAGAAAAGATTGTAAAAGTTCTCCTGGGTAGAAATGAACGTTCATATTTCATAGGATTTCACAGAAGAGTCAATAGCTGGAAAACTATTCCCAGTTACTATTCGTTTTAGGGTAGAGAAGTTTTAGTCATTTTCAGAGACCGGAGTGGGAGCATCTCCAAACACAGACCTCTGAAAGAATTCTCTTCCTTGTCTCAGCAGTATTTTCTTAGAAGCCATCTTCCCACAGACTTCCCTGCCCTCATTAGCAAAATATCCTCTTTCCTGGGGGATGAGAGAGGGCTGCAACCATGAACTGAAAATTCCTACTGCTGGGAGAAACATCAGTTCCTCCATGTACCTGCTTCAGAGGAAACCACCCTGAATAGAACAGCTTCTCCCAGCCCTTCCTTCAAACACTGCAGTACCTGGAAAAAGAAGCCCCTTTGCTTATAAACTTGGGAGAAGGAAGGGATCTTGGCGCTATTGCTGAACCTCTGCTTGGGGCAGGGGTCCTCATTTTATTATTTCCTTCTTTGTCACCTTTGCAAAGGAAAAGAGAAAGGAGTCAAATGGTACACGTTTATCATAAGTCTTCTGAGTTCATTGCAATTCTCTAACTTAACTGAAAGTGCTATCCTGTGGAATCAGGTCATCATTTGGGAGCCTGAGCTTTCACTGTTGAAGAAAAAAGCTTGAAAACCCAAAGCCTATAGGCTCATAACCCAGAAGGCAAATGAGGACAACTGGAAAAAAAATTGCATGGTTTCTAGCCAATTTCATTATGTTGAGGCAGGAGGAAAGAGGAAGGCTGTCTCATAACTGGAATGCTTGAAGTTGGGAATTCTGCTTTAAGTTCCTCTGCTGAACAGAGAATCCTTTGCTGTACATACAATATTTAGAAGGCATGGAAAGGAAATGATTCCAAGTCGTGTTTGTGGAAATTCAAGGTCAATCTAATAATATTGAATTACAAGGCACTTTACATTTGCAAAACTCCTTATGACTCACTCCTCATAACATCCCTATGGAGTAGGAGGGAATGTGCTCCCTATTTTACAAAGAAGGAAGCTGAGGCACAGGCAGTGAAATGATTTTCCCAAGGCCACACACCAAGTCAACTGGCAGAACAAGATTTCAAGTGCAAGATTCCATGCCTCTGAGACCCTTGCTCAACTCACTAGAGAGCAGTCTAGTGCCCCCCTAATATAAAAAAGAAGAAAATATAACAGCCTGAGTCCTATGAAGTACCAAATACTTACTGTTCCCTCCCACTTCAGAGGGAAATTGCAGATGATCACATCAGCCAGGAGTTGTAGGTAGACACTGCAGCAGGTTCAATACAGCCTGGTTTTGGATTACAGGATGCTTTCTACAGAGTACACATTTCTCTAAGCATTCATTTAGCTGGCAGCAATCTAAGGGCTGGATATTAACAAGTCCTGAGCATTCCCAATGGAGTCAAAATCAAGCCATAAGCCCTTCAGGGTCAGACTATAAGCAGTGACAATAGCTACCAACCACCAAAGCTACTTGAAAATTACTGTCATTAATTTCTAATAACAGCAACAATGGTTCTTAATCCAAGATATTTCTGAATTGTATATGCCATAGGCCCACAGAGAGGTAATGAACTGTGGACCACATCTGGGCTCACCGTTACAAAATGTCACCTGGAACAAATTAACAAATAATTACCACTTCAAGTGAAAAGATTTTTCTTTGTTATCATCCAGTCAAAAATTGTACTCTGAGAATGTTTAAATACTGTATTGAATGAGTTCATTATCAGGAAGAGAGAAGAATGATGCCTCAGAGAGTTATATGTCCACTAGAACTGGAGTTTGGGTAGTGTGCTTTCAGAAATAATTTTATTTTCCAGTAATGACAATATGCAGTACCATATAAGAAATGAAATTGAAGAATTGATCTTATTCATCAAATACAGGATAGCTTCAATATTAAAATTAACATATAAATTTAGCATCAATCTTATTTCCCCACTCATGTCCTCTGAGTAAATGCACATAAAGAATGAATCACTGAAACAGTATACTGAGAGAATCAAACTCATTTTTCAAATATGTCAGCACAAATGTGAGCTGAGCCTGTTTACCATGCACCCAACAAATGTTCTAGAGATGCCCCTTCAGACCTCTAACGTGGGCAAGTGTAGGTCCCTGCAGGAGAAACCACAAGCATATTTGAGACAGCCGATAAAGAAGGCTGTGCTGTATCAATTCTGTGAGGTTTGTTCACAAACATTTCTAACTCCAAGTAGCAGCCAACCTCCCTCCCTCTCTCTCCTTACTTTGATAATCACTGCTGGATTGTAAGCACTCCACAATAATTACTAATTGTTACTAATAGAATGAAGAACCATAGTTAGTATCCTCATATTCACAGGTAGAAAACTTGATTAAGTGACATGCCTTGGGTCACAAGGGCAGCCTGTAGCAGAATTAGGAATTAACCCATGGGGTCCAAATTCTTAATTAACCATTATCCTTCCTCCCATTTCTAGAGTTATCAAGTGAATGGAGGTTGCTAGGTCAGGCTCATAAAGGAGAAATGAGTATTTTACTACCATTTTGCCTTTACCCCACATAAAATTATGGAACGTTAACAATGACAGCAGTAATTTAAAAACCCAACAGCACTAGCTGGTTGCTAGACTTCGCCCTACTGGACACCACCCTACTGTCAAAAACAGCTTCCCTTGGATTTGCATGGGGTTTTCCATTCTTAGTTTTGTTTTTGGGTGGCTGGTCAATAGCTCCAAGGTTACTCCTAGTTTTTATTTATACAGCTCTGGTCTTCAAAAGCAGAAATAGTTGCTCCAGTTTGGAAATGTTAAGTTTACTACATCCAAAATCAATCCACAGGATGGAGTTGGAAAATGCCAGTGTACCTACAGAGATAACTATCATACCTGAAGCAATTTAACTAGTCACGAGCAACAATTCTACCAAGAAATAAAACCATCTATGTCTCATCTGTTTCCATTTAATCCAATAGCACACATATCCCTATTGATTTTAATAGGAACAGAGCCACTTAGTGTAAATATAATTTATCACAACTGTGAAGAAAAAGCTACTGAAATGGGGAGAAAACTGTTGACTCACAATACTGCTGTGACAAATCACTGAAGCTGCAGAAACAGATGGCAGCCAGCATTACCCTGTTAGAGCTCAGCCTGTGGAAAGCTGGATTCAAATGCGACTTAATTCAAGAGTGAAATTATTATAGTAGCAGCAATCCATAGGGGTCCACTGTCCACACTAAAAGGTCTCCCCCCAATGTTGCACAGCTGCTAGGATCTTTTCTGGTCCTGATCTTTCCTTCTTGGGCACGCAATGAATTGAGCAGTCTGAGACTGACTGGGTGAATACCACTGTTGCATTTGCAGATATGCATTGGCAGAGCTATGTGGGGAAATGTGTACGGTGTGGACTTTCTTTGTCAGGTTCTTATCCGTACTATGACACCCTGGTTTTCACAATTACTAACTTTTAGAGAATAAAAGAAAAATAGAGGGTTGGCTTGTGTCAGTCATGCCAGAAAATAAATGCAGAGACAGTGAAAAGAATGAGCTAAAATCCCTCCTCTGGGCCTAATTCCACTCCTAGAGTGCTTCTTAAAATACCAATAGTGTAATAGCATTGTCAACTGAAGGAGTTATGTCTGGTTTACACTGAGAGTGAAATGGGAATGAGCAGGTCCTTCCATCTAAGAATTTGAAGAACTATTTTTAGTGTTAGGCTAAAGGTAAGAAATGACCCTCCCCCTGTTCAGGAAGGAGGAGAGGTAAATCATTCTGATACATTTGGAATTCTTGCTACACAGTAAGTATAAACAATGATATTCTCTCACTCTGCTGGCTTAAAATAGAGTTGTGTGAATAACAGATTTTTCAGTTCACTGGCAGTTAAAAAAAATGGTAAAAAAAAAAAATATTCAGGTGAACCTGTAACATGGTATGGCCAAGTATGAAAGTATGGGATAGAACAGAGGTGCCACTGATCTGCAACAGAATTGATATTAATATGTCTGATTTGTATTAGAACTGCATCCATTCGGCTTCAGGACCTGCTGTGCTAGCACTGGAATTGTTTTGATGGGGGACATAATGAACACCCCATTATGTTTTACCTACACTGAAATATGGGTTACAGTACTACCAATGAGCTGACAAGCATATGTGGTCTTTAGTGAAAGGCTTAAAAGTTGTGCTGGAAATCTAAAGCATACTTTAAAAGATGCGCAATTGCTATAGTGTTTTAATTAGTATAGCATTGGAGATGGTGCTAAGTGCTGCTTTGCCATGCTCATGAAAGGGACTGAATTAATACCATGCACACGTGCAATAAATCATTCTTGAATCTGAAAGCAATAAATATTTGTAAGTTACAAGTTGCTTTAATTTCTTCTATTGTCATATGACCTCTCCTCCATGCCACTCAAGCAGAGGGCAAAAAGGAGCTATGCAGTAACATCCTTTATTTCTGCTTCTCTCTAAAATAACAAACTCTGCTTTACTCTGCTGAGCCCTCACAACCCTATTACACATATCTTCAAGACACAACACCTTTATAGATTTTTATTCATTGTCATATTCATTCACTGGCTTCAACATAACGGGTGAGATCCTCCACATGTACAAAATGGCCTACTTCCCCTGGCATTGATGAAGCTAGACACATTTATGCCAGCAAAGTATCTGGCCTTCTATCTTCAGAAAGGTTCTTTTCCCAAGTATGAATGACAAACCAAGATAATCTTCTTAGTTTATTTTTCTAGAGTCCTTAGCATGCTACATTAACCTGACAATGTTTAATCTTGTGTTCATTTCACAATACATTTCATGCAATTCACAGCTGTAATTGGTTTTACACTGACATTACACGTTTTGACCTATTCATGTGAAAAGAATAATTCTTAATATTATTTCTCTCTAAAAAGTGTCCAAGCTTAAACAGCACAGAAGCAGTTCACACTAATCTCATGTGCAGTAAGTCTTTTTGAATGCACGGATGATTATTGTCATAGGAATATAAGGTCCCTGTTTTAGTCCATTTGCAACTGAACTACTTTTGTTTGATTTCTTGTGTCCTGAGGAATCCTCTCTTATAAAACAGCATTCAAGTATTCTATTTTAACATTCCCAGTTGTCTGAGTTAAGGAGCAAGGCAGACCATCAGTTTTAGATTCCATTATAGATGTTCCATAGTCCCACAACTATTCTTAGCATAAGAGTCTTCCTTTGTAATGAACATTCAGCACTAAAGTATAGCTATTTGGCATTATCCAGTGAAGTGCAAGAAATTAAATAAGTTATGTCTTTATTGCTAAAGTACAATACCAAGCAAAGTCTTCTTTATTTAATTGCAAGAAGTTCATAGGGAACGCCTCCCTCTTCTTGATGCCCAGTAGTTCAGCTGCTTTGCAAATATCATTTAGTTATCACATATCGACTGTCATTCTAAGATGATGTATTGAGTATTCTAGAGTCTGAAGAATCAGATCTTTCGTCATAGTCATCTTCTGTATAAATAGGCTGTTTAGACACAATTGGACATCCATCATCAGGGATTGAAATCCTAGGATCTTCTGATGAGCGTGAAGGAAGGACAGGCGAACTTCGGAAGACACTGGTAGAATTACTAGAGAAAGGGCTGACGTACTGGGACCTCAGCTGGTACTGCTGCTGCAGTGTCATGGTGTTCCACAAAGTGACATCATTAGGTAGAAAAGGACTGGACTGGTTTCTTGCCAAAGTATTCCTCAACATCAGTGGGTATCGGGGTGGTTGTGGGAAAGGGTGCTGTAAAGGTACAGCCAAAGGATTTGGCACAACATTACTAGAATCAGTGGAAAATCTCAGTGTGTCTGGAACTCTAAAGGCTGATCCTACAGACCACTTGGAAGAGGAAATAGGATACGAACTCAGTGTGTGTTCAAAAATGTGCCCGTTGGAAGGCAAAACAAGACCGTCAGATTCCGCAGAAGTTCTGTCCCCACTGGCTACTGACGATCGGCTGGACAAAAGGACTTCAACAGCACTCACCAGATCGCCCCCACAGCCCTTCAAGATTAATTCAAGCACAGTTGGCTTTTGGTTGGGGAAGATTTTTTTTAACACTTCAAGTGGAGGTCTGTTGGCCTTCAAACTGAAAGGCAGAGAAACTGTCCCCGATGGACCTTCTATCAGGAGATGATTCTGTTCTGCGTGATATTTGGGACTGTCTGGCCTGCTCTCTGTGCTGCCACCGTTTTTCTGTACTGCATAACCTCCTTCATCTACTGACACTGTTTCAGGGCTCTCAGGAGTGAAGCAGCTTTTGGCTTTTGTCGCATCTGGGGAACTCCTTTGGTCCGTGTCTTTGTCACTGTAGGTTTCAGCATTGTCTGTTCCGCTCGTGTCCCCCAAGCGTTCCTCACTCACATCTGTAAAGCAGAAGGCAGTTGAATTAATCCATTCAGCTAGCGCAAACCTCTTTACATGCATTACATGAATGAAGCAGGAATCTAGGAATCTAGCAAAGGTAAGAATCACCAAGGTTTTTGTTATGCCAACTTTATGAATCTGTACCTAAACCCATCTTTTTCTGCTGTGCCAAATGATAAAATACTAGTACTCAAACTCATGCAGAATTCTTTAATGGAGACAGTTGGTGTCCACTATGCAAATTACACCTTCTTGTAAATAGTCTTTCTACAATACATAGCCAGAGAATGGGTATAGTAGACTAAACTGCTGCTGGATATTAGATTCAACTTCTTTGTAAGTGGCCATAAGGAAAAACAAAAAAAAACAGATCATCTGAAAGCCAGCCTTCCATACAGGCATTTAAACACTTTAAAAATCAGTAATTTTTAGAACTGAATCTTGTCCTTAGTGACTGGACTGAGTGTTGAAGGGGGGACCCAGCAGGTCAAGTCAGCTCCACCAAGCCAAACTACATTAGTGGCACTCTTCTATGGCAGCCTATCTAGATCCCCTGCATTGGCTCTCTGACATCAATGTCCTCGCCCCCAGGCAGTGGACCATGCATTCCCACTCTGTCTGTGGTGGGGAAGGGTAGGATTGGTCCCACAGGTGATTTATAAGCTTGTCATTGTATCCTGCAGAGGAGGAAGCCAAGAGCTTATTGCTGCAGATTAATAGGCACGTGTAGACAGGCCTGCAGAACAGAACTCGACTCTCTGCAGAGCTCCACGGATTTAATTGGGACTGTGTTTTAAGCATATTGCTGTTGCTCAGGGTGAGGCGCATGGAATCTGACTCCCATTATCATTTTTTAAATAAACACTATGCAGAGCACTAAAACATTTTGTTCTGAGGCCTCATTTTAACCAGGCCAACTCACTTATCAGCCCTCTTAGAACAGGAAGCAGCACAGAGACAGTGAAATGCACTGGAGCTGCAAAAGTATACTACTAAGCATTAATTCAGAACTATGAACTACTTAAACAGATTTGAGATAAACAAGTAGGAGTGTCCCACTGCACACAGCATAGCATGTCTTCCCTAGTAGTCATCTGGACAAGGAAAGTTAATTTTGCCAGGGTGCTGATTAAGTGTTTTATCAGCCAGCTCAACACCTGAGATGCACATGCAGTTCTCATCCACTGAGAAGGGGGCAGAGGTATCATCCTCTGCCTTCCTACATCCCGAGATAAGGAAACAGAGCCTAAGTTATATCCTTGGGAGTATACTGTCAGGAAGGGGGGAGATTCTTGGGATTCACAATGACCCTCAATTGGCCTAAGGATACCCCCAGAGCTGCAGCTATATTATGTTTTGTGGTCACATGCAATCATGCACACAGGCTTGTCTGCTCTGAGAAAGCCTCGCTTTTCAGGGTTCTACGAACAGACATAACAAGAGACTCTGGGTCTCCAGAGCCAGGCCTGAGACCCACATGCTGCACCTTGCTAAGTATCATCAGTCCTCCTAGCTTTCTTAAAGCTCCTGAGATCTGCATCATTTATTCTGCGGAGGACCAATGCCCTACAAAGTATAACTCAAAAGGAATTCAACAAGGGAAAAGCCCTTGTGGAGATTTCATCCCCCCTACCCATTCCTTCAGAAAATCCAGCACATGGGGAAACCCCAAGAATAGTATGGCTATTTTTAAAGGTTGTAAAACAGACATTAAAAAGCAATATAAGGCCAGGGCTTTACCGTATTTTGCTCTATGACGCACAAATAGGTTATGAACAGGAGAAGTAATAGTTGTATGTACCGTTATATCATGCAGGAAACAATGTTTGTGCATTTCCTCCATGCTCTCAGCATGTCATTCCCACTATAGCAGTAAAAGGGGAAGGTGGGGGACAGAAAATGTTTCCATGAGTAAATATACTCGAACAAGCCAAACCCCTATAAATATTTTTAAATTGACATAAGTTTATTCATAGAAACTATATGTAGACTAGCCATTAATTACTATGGAAGAAGACTATCTACTCTCAATCCTACCCTGCCTCATGCCTAGCACACGGCTGCAATGCACCTATTTAGGTTTCTGATCCTAAAGACTCCACGTGCAGCTTCTGTTGAAGTCAGTGGAAGCTTCATATGTGAAAGGACTGCCGGACTCGTAGTCTGAAGGTTAAGAAGCAACTGCAACTGTAGCCATTCCACAGTAATTTCCTATGGGAAAGCACTTGAACATGAACTGATCATGCTATGGTGCCCAACATTACCAGGTAACTGATATGTGAGTAGACATATTTCAGAAGTATTTATTTCCAAAATATATTTACTGCTGTTTCCATTTAGCACAAGGCACTGTGTAACATAGCAAATAGACATAAAAAAGCATAATACATTGCATCTCCTAAATCAGGGAAATATGGCCTCTGTCCTGAAAAAAATATTACTTTCAGGGTTTTATTACATTTCTTTTTTGAAATAACGTGTTAATACCTGCCTTTTTAAATTTGGCTAAAAATGATTTTTAAATTCTAGACATTTAAATTCTAAAAAATAAGCATATTTAAAAGAGCCAAAAGTTCACACACATACACACACACTGACTTCAAGAACATCAGGATACTTCCACAACCCACTTCCCTATATAATCCTCACTCGTAACTATGTACGTAAGCTAATGATTACTAAAACATCCACTACATTAGTGTGTGTGTCTGTTGGGGAGTGGGGCAGGAAGGATACACATGCCTCTCACAAGATCAACAAAAGTGGATTTTGATGATGTAGATGAACTAGGGATAGATTAGCTCCTTGTTGGTACTAGAGCCCAGTGACCCAATTTAAACTTAGTAAATATTTAGAAAATAATATATAGCAAAGCTGGCCGAATCTTAACAACAACATTTTTCTCTGCCTGGATGTCAGTTGGAAACCTCTTTTCCTGCTGAACTGAACTGGATGGCATACACCAACTCACCTACCCCAAAGTCCCAGCAAGATCGCTTGGATTTCTTGCCTGGAAGAATATTTGTTTATTTTGTGCAACTCATCTGAGCACCAATTTCCCTGCCACCCTGTAAATGGTGTGCAGGTGGAACTAGGCAAAGAAAATGTCCTGTTGGCTCTTTCCTACATTTTTGCCTTTTTGAGGTTAGATTTTCACTAACTTTCAATGAGCAGAGAATAACAACTGACAAATAACCAAACAAACCTATACAAATACATTCTGGATGCTAAAATGCAGAAATACAACTTGCTGAGCCACCACACTTAGCACATCAATTTTGCATTGCTCCCAAATACTTCACAAGCTTCCACTATTGAAATACACATTTCGTTAAAAATAAATGTATTCTTTGTTCTAAGACCACTGTATCTTCCTGTAATACTTACTAGCTAAAGGTGGTCAGCATTTTATAGTAACTTTATAGTAAGAAACCTTGGCCTCAGACAACCATTTAGTACATTTTAAATAAAATGTATACTGGTTCTGACTGAATGCGGTTATGGCTCGCATTCAGTGAACTTTTTGCTAGTCTTGAGGAAATTAAAAAGAATTGGTTTCTTCATTTATGCTATGTATGGTGAACTGCTATAGCATATCACATACACAAACTTTATAGATAAATACAGGTATAGATAAAATGAATAAAAAATATAGCTATCTCTGTGCATAAGCATATCTATTTAATTTTAATATTTCATGCATACATGCAAGAAAATAAGTATTTCAAATTCTGAAGGAGATAATATAGCATAGCTTTCCTTTAAACATTTCATATTAAAGATGGCAAGGTGTTCAAATGCTATGACAATGGTTTAAGGAGATTTATACTTATATTCTGAAAGTATCTCAGAAAGAGAAAAAAACTCTCTATAATTTGTTCATTTACTGGAAACTTGTTTAATACTTTGAACAAAGTACCTCTCTGCTTAATGGTCCCACTGATGACCTTTGTGCAAATAGCTCTAAATTGTACCACAATTAAGAGAGATCTTCCTGTAACCCAAACTTATCTGCTTTTATCCCCATTTCTATTATTGTAATGAATTGACACTTAAAATATCAGAGGGAGAGTCATGAAACTAAAGACGTGTGAAACTTGCATTGAGTTAAAGAAATGAAGCCCACTACATTGCAAACTGCTCATAATTTCCCCCTTGGACAATGTTATGCTGTGAGTACTAAAGGAAACTTGGGAGGGAAATAACTGAAGATCTCATATGCCTCTTTTGTGCTGTTTTTACATACACTCGTAACTACTAATAAGAAGTGAGAACATTATACCTGCCATTTATGTGAAAGGTAAAAATATGAAATGGAAAAGTAACTGTTTAGGGTAACATATGGACATGTAAGGAAACAGGGAGAAATTAAGATACCTATAGTCAGTGTCAGATTCCAACACCCTGGCTCACACTGGGTTCAACTTTATTCAAAAAAGAGTTTCCAGTGAAGAGATCAGGACCATTTCAGAAGTAAGCCTGCTCAAAGGAAGGGCTCTAAATCAGGAAAAGGTCCCTACTCCTGGACTAGTCTTCAAAGGGTAAAATTTGCAGGTGGTACTTAGGAAACCAAGTGCCAATTCCTCCTTGGGCTCCGGCATCCTGTACAACTGGCCAAGACACTACCTTTGCACCTCATTTCCCCATTTATAACAGGAGGTCAGAAGGATAAGAAAAGACCGGGAGGTACTCAAGACTCAGTAATGGGGCCATAGAATTAGAAATGTGGATTTAAGCACCAAAAACATAAGCCTGGACAAGGGATGTATTTGGTAGCCGTGTTGGTCTGAGACCAAAAGAAATGCAAAACTCTAGAACCCTTGGTTCAGAAACGATACCTTTTATTAGACCAACTATAAAACCTATATATATATACACACACACACACAATATATATAAAAAAAACTTTATATAAAAAAAATTATAAATGTATATAAGCCTGGACTTATTGGGAAACAATCCGTGGCCCAATTACCTCGCTCTCAGTATGGTGCACTCTACAGACACCATCCTCTATTAGGGAAAAGTGATCAAAAAACTACCTATGCTCTCCGATCTCATTGTAAATTAAGAAAAACCCTGTTCATTCAACTGCACAGGGAAGGCTGCTTTCTCTGCAGTGCATGATACTGTGGTTTGAGGTATATCGGCCTCACTGTCCGTTTCCTCAGGAATCCAGTGAATTGCAACTTGGACTACGAACGGGCTAATGAAGAGTGTATCCCTGCATGCAGGAAGGCAGCCAGAATGAAGATGGGCCAAACCCTCCTTCCCTTCCATGAAGAAGTGCAACATGAAGGGAAGGGGCTGGGAGTGCAGTGGGGTGTTTGATTTATGAAGATTTACTCCTTTTCCCCCTGTAAAGCTGTTAGCAGAAAGTGCTGACTGGCTGGCAGGGAAGAATTTCTCATCAATGCTCTTTGATTGTATTTTGCAAACAAAATGCCTGTTGCTTGGTAACATTTCACTTGAGCCTGACCTTCTCCGAAAGTTATTGCTATCAGATTCGATTTACACTGTCCTCCTGTGATTACTGTAATCTTTTAAGCGGGGAAGTTCATATATCAGGAGAAAGAAAAGTTGGGCCTGGCAAGTCAATATCGCTCCTATCCGCCAGATTGATGTCCTGCTGGCGGACTTTATTTGTTTCACTTTCTGGAGAGAGCAGGGCTGGGATTCTCATGTCAAGTTCCTTCCCTTGGGTTTGTGGATGCCCCTGGACAGATTTGGCACCCCCTGCCCCTCCACCAAGGCACTGGTGGGGTATCACCCCCGCTCTCTTAAATGTCCTGAGTTTCAGATGGGCTAGGAAAGCCTTCCAGCCACTTTCATTTCCCGGCTGGGGTTGCAGGGCCCAGAAAGTGGGGGGCTTTACTTTGCTGGCTTGCGGGTGGGAGAGGGCAGCTCTGGGAGCAAGTGTGGGGCACAAGAGGAGACAGCTGGACTCCAGGGAGATGACAGCCCCTCGCCACACACCAGAGGGCTCCGGGCAGAAGGGTGCTGGGGGGAGTGGTATGGGGCTGCTCTGCCCAGCTTGGCTCCCCAGAGCTGCAATGGCTGGGCATCATCCCCAGGTCTCTCCCCATGAGGGAGCAAAACTCCCACTGAAGGGAGAGACCTCCTGGCTTGGGGGGCCAGGTGGCTGGGGTAACAAGGGAGCCTCTACTCCAGCCTGCCTGCCCTGCCAGCAACCAAGCAGGGCAGAGCAAGTGGAGCCTGGGGCCCAGGGCAACTCACACAGCACCCTTGCATTAGAGGGCTCCTACCCTCCCCCAGACCAGGGTCCAAATTATGGGGGAGCTCGGGGCAGCTGAGCCCTGCCTCCCCCCCCAGCCCCCATAAGAGATGAAAGCCCTCCTGTACTATTTGAAAATCATAATCTGGCGAGGAGGTCTCGGAGTGGACTTGTTAATCAACGAACCAGTTTAACTTAGTGTTAAACCCCTCCAAGACTCACCCCCAAGAGTCAAAGTGTAACTCCAGACTATCAGGGACAAGCGGGCTGCCCCCAGGAACCAGTGCACATGGCTCCAAGGCAGACGGGAGCCCTCGGAGTTCGGGAGCCCAATGCACCAGCCCCGGGGTCCAGCCAAGCCCCCTGCGTCGCTCCCACGGGCCGAGATGGAGCTGGGACAAGCCTGAGAAAGCCTCAGCTTGTCCGCTGGGGGATCCCTCCCCGTGGGCAGCAGCCCCCACAGACTATGAGGGCCACTGGGATGCACAGCACTGCCCCACACCTGCCGTGTGTGGGGAGGAAGAGGGCTGGAAACCCCGCTGTGCCTTCCCCTGGCTCAGAGGCCATGTCCCTGCTCTCTGTGCACCTTTCTCCATCTCAGGCTTTTACTGGGGCTGTGAGGAGCAGCCTGGCAGCCCCTCTGTGTGCAGGGAGCTTCTGTCTCTCAGGGAGGAGGATTTCCAGAATGATTTTGCTGAGCCAAAACAAAAATAAAACTCTAAAAAAAGTGTTAGCTGTAAAGTTATTCAGAGGGGCTGAAGAATGAGGTAAACAAATGGCAGGAACTGCTGCCCCCACTCTCACATTGCCCCAGGACAGCACACAAACAGGGCAGGATCTGTGGGGGTGGGGGAGCCGGGCAGGAAAAGCAGGCTCCAAGGGGGACCTGATTGTGTCCCACCAGGGGCCACGTGGTGCCTGCTGGCTGGGAGCTGCCCCTTCCCACTCATCTCCGCTGCCAGTCTGCACTGGGATGAGCGTGGAGGGAGCAAGCCATTGATCTGGCCTGGAATGAATTCAATCGGGCTGGGCATGGGGGGCTTTGCCCTCGCCCTGCCATACAAGCTGACATCTCCTGGGTCAGCCTATGGGTCCCTCTTGCCCAGTGTCACGCAGGGACAGAGAGTAGAGCTGAAAGCGAGCGAGGAGTGGGTCTGAGCACGGTTTTCCCCACTCCTCTCTCACTTGCAGCCCACAGCATGCAGGGCTGATCCAGAGGCTGTGCCCCTCACTCCCCTGCTGCCCCTTTCCTCCAAGAAGGTGTCCAGCCCCTTTGTGAACCTGCCTAAACCATCAGCTTCCCCCATGTCTGGGGGCAAGGAGTCCCACAGGCTTTGAGGCGCTGCATGAAAAGGAGCTGCCTTTTGTTTCTTCTCAACTTCCTACCTTCTCCTTGCATTTTCTGCCCCCCTGGTTCTTGCCCGCTGAGAGAGACAGTGATCAATGCCCACCAGCTTTCTCCCGCCGGTGGACTTTGCAGGGCTGGGAGGTCACCTCATGCAAGGCAGGATCATCCCTCTCCAAAGCTTCCCTAGACAAGTAGGTAAATCTCTTCAGCCTCTCTCTTCTCAACTGCCCAGGCCTGGGCTCCTCACACGGAAGCCCAGATCAGCCTGGCAGCCCTGCTCTGCAACAGGCCAGCGTCCTCTAGGCCAGTGGTCTCCAAACTTTTTTGATCGTGCACCCCTATCAGTAAAAAATTTTTGAGCACGCACCCCCAAATATCTGTATATTTATATTCACGCACCCCTATCAGTAACAACATTTTTAGCATTCACCCCCAAATATATATTTATACTCGCACACCCCTATCAGTAAAAAATTTTTGAGCACGCACCCCCCAATATATGTATATTTATATAAATATACATCTAAATAAAAGTTTTAACATTTTCTTCCCGCATCCCAATGGGTCGTCTTGCGCACCCCCTGGGGTGTGTGCACCTCACCTTGGAGACGCTGCTCTAGGCAGCTCATCTCCGGGGAAGGGGAGATTTCTTTTCATAGTTGTTAGGGGCGAAGGGACCTTACAGCTTGTTGGCTCCACTTGGGCAGGAAAGACTAATGGGCTCAGATGACCCCAGATTTTAGGGGGAGAGGGGATCCCCTTCAGCCTGAGCCCCCCATGCCTCGGGAATGACGGCCAATGAGGGCTGGCAGGGAGGGCATCCGACCCTGCTCCGAGCAGGACCCACCGCATCCGGACCAAGGCTTCGTCTCGCCGGCTCGTCCAGCCCTCCCCGGCGGGAGGAGGCTCCCTGAGCTGAGCAAGTTTCCCCCGGTCTCTCCAGCCCACCTCCGCCCGGAGGCCGCCCTGCCCCGCCGCGGGAGCCTCACCTGCTTTGGGCGGCGGCTGGA